AAATGGTAAGCAATTGCTTCCCCGATTTTCCTATGTATATAAGTGGGTAACTTCAAAAATTAAAAAATAATAATAATTTGTATAGAGTCAGTAAAATGAGCTAACGTTGTTGATCATTCACCTCTTCTCTTTTTTGCTTTTAGCACTTGATCAATACTACATAGTATATAAAATATCTCGAATCTTACTAGAACTCAAAAAGGTATTAGTAGCAGTAGTAATAATAGTATTATCATTTTCAAAATTAATGTTCGGTGTGTGTCAGATCCTTCAAGAATAGTATATTTTTGAAGAAGCCGACACGAATACAAACATAAATTATCACTACCATTTTGTCATGTATTCATCATCATATATGAGAAGATTCATACAGTTATATTCTTGGTGTGCCCATAATTCCAGTAGGTTCCAAATTTAAAATGTCATCTTTCTTTTGTGTATACTCCAAAGCTAGCTATATTGTCGTGTGTTCTAGCTAGGAAGTTTCATCAAATCTACGTTTTTTGCGTGTTTCTCTTTTTAAAATATTTATTTCACCTCGCACCCCTCATATTTTCACAATTTCGGTTTTCCATTCGTATGATTTAAATTTCTAAAAGATCGCTTTATCATTCATGATATTTTATTTTATTTAAAACCACTAAATTGAGATATATTCTTATATATTAGGTTATGGTATAGTGGGGGGTGGGGGGGGGGGGGGAATAAACCTTATAGCATACAGCCGTTATTATAAATTAGGTTGAAGCTTAATAACAACTTGACCCGCTGTAGCACTGGTTAATTCCTTCTCTATTTGAAAAAATCCGGGTTCGAATCCTGGCAGCGGAAGTAAATTTTTGATCATTTTATCAGTATCAACTCTAGGACGTTTTGTAAAGATAGCAAATAAACTATCCTAAGTTTTATCTAGGCTGGGTTGGAGCTCGACTAAAGTTAGACTCGACTCAACTTGAATTGATTTCACCCATCAAAATTTATAGATCAAAGAGCTTTATTGAAGTCCCATCGTGGATGATCCAGTTGGTTTGGAGGGCGGTCATCCATACAGATGACCTGTGATCGATTCTTCCCTCAATGCCTTCTGGGTCAGCCTGTCGTACCGGATTTGCCTAGTGCGGTTACATCCCATGTGTGGTTTGCGGGTCAGTACACAGGGGTTTACCCAGTGCGTACAGAGTGCTCACCCGAAGGGCAGAGGCTGCGATAAAGGCTGTAGCGGTTGTGAATTTTTCTGGGGTTCCAAAAGAAAAGAGCTTTATTAAAGCTCAATTTAGTAAAATTCGAATTAGACTATCTAACTCGTTAGATCGGTTGAGCCATATAATAATTACTTTAAAACAAAATTTTAGCAGTAAATTATCTATTCTCAAGTTAGCTCGTAATCTCATAGGAGATACTACAAAGCATCAAAGCTTGCCTTTAAGGCTTTAACAATTAGGGGTTTGATATTAGTAATTTCTTGTTTGGTAGTAGTATTTTTTAACTTATGTATAACAACAACAATAATAACATACTCGGTCTAATTTCACGCATAGTGGGGTTTGGGGAGGATAATGTGTATGCAGACCTTATCCCTACCTTGTGGAGGTAGAGAGGTTATTTCCAAGAGACTCTCGACTCAGGAAAGTATAGGTACAATAATAATAACAAGTAAACAAGACAGGACAACACCAGAACCCATGTAAAAGCATCATACAGAAGAAGAAAAAATGACAGGTATTCAAATTTCAAAGAAACCTAATACCAACCAAATGCGAGAGTACATACCGGTACGAATAATTGAGACTAACTAACATACTATCCTAATTTTCGACCTCCGCACATTCCTATCTAGGATATATGTATAACTAATACATATATTAGTTATACACCATATTTGGCATTATCGTATGTAAAACTAATACATAGCATTTTAAGTGTGACATTCCTATTATTTTTAATTTTTTTTAATCTCTTTGTATGAATTTTTGCAATCGGCACTCGACTTATGTAGCTAGTATAACAACATAACATGTAAAATATCATCAGAATATCATGCTCTTATAACGTTACATGATGACTACACATACCCTTTTGCTTGGCAGTTTGGACAACCTGAAAATTTTGCAACTGCAACAACTTGATATTGTCAATAAAATGTCACCTTTGTATGATTATCTCTCAATACATGTACATTAAATTTGGAATAGCGATGCAAAATCGTAAAGAAGAGTATGAGCGAGCTATCGGCTTTTCCATAATAAGAAAAACTAACATTCTCGTCCTAACGGATGACCTACCTATTAAAGTATATATTTTTGTGAATGAAACATTTAATTTTAAGTAAGTAATTAATACATTTATAACTTATAATTAACATACAATTTTATACGAGTAAGTGAGAGAAACTCTCATCCATCGTTAGGAATCTTCCGCATGGAAACACCACCTAAGTCACCCAACATACCACCGGAACCGCCGGATAACACCATCATGGAAGTAGAAACTAACCAAATGCACTCATATAAGGAAATGCTATTAGAAAAACAAAACACTACACAAGCTGAGTACTACGCAACGGAAGCCCAATCAACACTCACACGAGAAAAAGGGAAGGAATCCACAGGGCCTATATTTCTATCACAAGAAGATAAGAACAGACTGCATGAGCCATGGCGCTTCTCAGTTATAATCAAGTTATTTGGGAAAAAAATGCCACACTAACTTCTCCGTTCTAAGCTAGTTGACCTTTGGAGTCCATCTGAACAGTTGATTTTGATTGACTTAGGATGGGATTTTTTCATAGTCAAATTTAGCAAAGAGGAGAACTTAGTGAAAGCATTACAAAAAGGGCCATGGTTCTTATCAGGGAATTTCCTCTCAGTAAGAAGATGGGAACCAAAATTCGTTCCACAGGAAGCAACCCTATCCTTCACTGCAATTTGGGTAAGACTACCGCAGCTGCCAACAGAATTCTATGATAAGGAAATCCTTGAAAAGGTGGGTCGGAAGCTGGGGAAACTACTAAAAATTGACACATGCACCTCAGCCACTCTCAGAGGAAGGTATGCACGCATATGCATTCAGGTCCCCCTAGAAAAACCAGTAGCAACCTCAGTCACAATAGGAGATCATAAACAACTGGTACTTTACGAAGGGGAAAATGTACTATGCACTGGATGTGGAAGAATAGGTCATATCCTAAAAGGGTGTACACATAGACAAAGCCAATACCAACACCAGCCCGGGATAGCCCAGAATGCTCAAAAAATAGCCAAAGAAACACTGCAAATCAAACAACAAGTACAGAGGAAGAAGAAGAATGGCAAGTTGTCTCCTTCCCAAGAAGGAAAAAAAAGGACACCGCCACAAAACAAAGGCAAGAACAGGATACCTACCCCAAAGACAATTCATCAGCAAAACAGGACAAAATCAAGGTAAAAATGTTCGATGCATCCTCAGGTAAGTTCCTGGAAACTCAAACTTTCCGGTACACAAACAAAACTAACTTGTCACAGGAAATGGACCGGCCCAAACAAAACTCCACGAGGGGGCCACACAGCCAAACTAGAACAGGACAGTCCACAAAGGAGCGGGTTAATGTCAGTGTTAAAAGAAAAGCGAACCCAGGCCAAAGTCAAACCCACACAAGCCGGGAAACTGGGCCCAGGTCCCAAACTACAACTACCAATTCTGACAATATGGACATTACCCAAACCCAAATGGACCCTACCCCATCTCCAAAGACAATTCGGCCCAATAACCAAAAAAGCACCCCAATTTTCCAGATAGACCCACTTCAAGCCTCAGACGAAAGGTCTGACCCAAATGATGACCCCTACCACACTATCTCTCCCCTACCAACCCCAACCGGTGAGAAATCCTCCATGACAGACCAAGCCTAAACACAGTGTAACCAAGAAATCCCCATTGATTTGACAGAATCAATCAACTCCATTGGATTTCCAAGTAAACCATTACTCAGTAAATCAGACACAACCCCCAAAACAACGAAAATAATTATGACCCAAAAGACTCAAACGTCTGAAATGATTGAGTTGCCCAATGCCCCTTCCTTTATTACCAACCCAGAAAAACGAAAAATCAAGAAAGCCAAAAATGGAACCAAGCAATACCCCCCCCCCCACCCAATATTCCTAATCTCCAACCCACCACCACCGGACCACTTACCGGCCACTTGGCTGGAGTTGGCCCTCCATGGGCAGGCTCTGAGCTACGATTTTCAACTGGGCGACCAACCAGTCACCCTCATCATTCAGAACCCAGCACACTTAGCAAGGGTCGCAGCAGAGGCACTAAACAAGGGCTTGGGGATGCTTGGAGCCCAAATGTGGCAGTCAGCGATGGAGCAGGTTCACCCAGCGAACCCAAATGCCAACAGGGAAGTACCAATCCAGGAGAGGATCAACCAAATCTTCAACAGTATGCCGTTCTTTCCAGAACTCACAGTGGAGGACCCATATGCCACACCACATTTCAAGGCGTTTCAACCGGAAGCAGCCCAGAAAGATTCACCTTCACAGCAGGAGAAGCAAATACTGATACAACCAGAGCAATCACCACTGGGGAGCATAGCAAAAAGAATCTCAACAGCCCTGGAGATCTTGAAGAGCAAAGACATGACAACGGAACAAGGAGCAATACCAATCGACGATCTAGTGAGAGTGGACTCAATATGGCTGGAGACAGTGAGGGCGGTGGAATTCAGTGTGGACCACAGCGAAACCCTAATCCTCCTGTGTCCAAAGAACCTAGTCTGATGCGGAATGGAACTTTCATCTCATATGAGCCAAGATACTCTCAAACCACTCCTAACCCTAACCCCAGTGATGAGATCCCAACAGTCTCAGCTCCAGGGAAAGAATGTGATGCATCCCCAGGGCAGGGAAACAACATCTTCGAGCACAAGCCCTCCAACACTGAACCCTCTAATGAATTTCATCATATGGAATGTTAGAGGGGCGAACAGTGCGGAGTTCAAAAGGCATTGCTCAGAGATGGTCAAGCTTCATAAGCCAATGATGTTGGTCCTGCTTGAAACAAAAATGGCAGACCACAAAAAGCTCACTGAGGAGCTTCAATTTGATATGCATGTCCAATTCCCTGCCGTTGGCTTTTCTGGAGGTATTGTAATCATGTGGAAAGAAACATCCATCCAAGTGGATGAGATAGCTGTCAATTCACAGGGCATTCATGCCATGGTTAAGGTACTGCCTTCAAACCCACCCTGGTTACTTTCTGCTATTTATGCTAGCAATGTTTTAGAAAATAGACTAAACCTTTGGGATAATCTGCTTGACATCTCCCACACTCATCTGGGGAGCTGGTTTGTGGGGGAAGACTTCAATGAAGTCCTCAAAGCTGAAGAAAAATTTGGGGGCAACCCCATCAATACACACAGAAGCAACTCCTTCTGGAACTGTATTAATAACTGCCACCTCATAGATCTAGGTTTTAAAGGCAGTAAGTATACCTGGTCTAATAAGAGGTACAAAACAAGAAACAGCCTCATATTAGAAAGAATAGACAGATGCCTCGCTAATAACCAGTGGGTAAATCAGTACCCTGAAGCCAACATCACACACCTCCCTAGGACTCAATCACACCATTGCCCCATGCTTGTTAGCCTTAGTAATGCCAGTCCTAGTCCTATAAATAAGCCATTTAGGTTTGAATCCATGTGGTGCAGCCACCCAATGTTCCAAAGCTTGGTTAGGGACTCTTTTAGCCCAAACTCTACCTTAATCCCCTCCACAGCCCTGTTTAAAGCAAAAGCTGTTAGTTGGAATAGGGACACCTTTGGCAACATCTTTCACAAAAAAAGGAGACTCCTTGCAAGGATTGCAAGAATCCAGAAATCTCCCCATTACCCAACAAGTACAAACCTTCAAAGTCTGGAAACACAACTCATTGATGAGCTTAACTCAATATTGAAAAATGAGGAAGACTTTTGGAAGTTGAAATCCAGAATCCAATGGCTCTCTGAAGGAAATGCAAATACCAATTTCTTTCATGCATCCACCCTTAATAGAATGAGGAGAAATAAAATACTATCTCTCCAGAATGACAGTGGTCAATGGATGTTTGAAGAAGGAGAAATCCATCAGGCTATCTCCTAGTTCTTCATAGAACTGTACAAATCCTCACACCAACAATCCAAAGCTGGAATCTCATCCACAGAAATCCAAGGGCCAACCCTTTCACAGGCTCAACAGACAATGTTAGGAATGGCCCTTAGGGATAGTGAAATCAAAACTGCCATATTCTCCCTCAAGCCTTTTAAAGCACCTGGGCCTGATGGTCTACACCCCTTTTTCTATCAGAAATACTGGGACATCGTGGGCAAGGATGTCATTTCCTTCTGTAAAAACTGTTTCAACACATCAATCATGGACCCAAGAATGAATGAAACCCTCCTTGCCTCATCCCAAAATGCCTCAATACCTCAGTGCTTAGGAACTTTCGACCTATAGGCTTATGTAACACTGTCTACAAGACAGTAACAAAAATCATAGTCAATAGGATCAAGCCTCTCCTCCCAAGCATCATTGGACCCAGTCAGGCAAGCTTCATGTCAAACAGGAGAGCTTCTGATAATGCCATCATAGTTCAGGAATATATCTCCCATTTTGGGAAAATGAAAGGCAAATCTAGTAACATGATGCTCAAAATAGAATTGGAAAAGGCCTTCGACAGGCTTGAATGGTCCTTTATCAAAGAAACCCTCCATGTTTTTAGATTCCCAACCAGCATCATCAACCTCATCATGTCTTGTGTCAGCACATCCACCATCTCTGTTATTATCAATGGGGGAAAAACTGCACCCTTTGTGCCCACTAGAGGCATCAGACAAGGAGACCCCCTCTCCCCTTAACTCTTTATCATGTGCATGGAAAGGCTGTCAAGAGCCATAGACAACAATGTCTCAAATGGAGACTGGCAGCCAATCAGCATCAGCAGAACTGGGCAAAAAATTTCTCACCTGTTCTTTGCTAATGACTTAACGCTCTTTGCTAAAGCCAACCTGTCCAACAGCAACACAATCCTTAATACACTCAATTCTTTCAATCTGGCATCAGGGCAAAAAATAAACCTTCACAAATCTAAGGTTTGTTTTAGCAAAAACTGCCAGGCTCATCAAATGGAAATCATTTCCAACTCCCTTTTCATAAAAGCATCCTTAACCTTTGGCGAGTACCTAGGTTTCCCCATGCTTCACAAAAGGCCCAGCCATAATGATTTTCAATTTATTATTGACAATCTTCACTCAAAAATGGCAGGATGGAAAACGAGCATGCTTAACATGACTGGCAGGACCACTCTGGCTAAGGCCTCTTTGAACTCAATTCCGAACCATGTCATGCAATACATCAAATTGCCAACGAAAACATGTAAGGAAATTGACAAGGTTCAGCGGAACTTCATCTGGGGCACCACTACTAATAAAAAGAAAATGCACCTTGTATCCTGGGACACAGTCACAAAGCCCAAAGACAAAGGAGGCCTGGGCATTCAGAAAGCAGAACTAAAAAACAAAGCTCTTCATTCAGGCCTTGCTTGGAGGCTGTTCCAAAATCCCTCATCCCTCTGGGCCAACACTCTTATTGCAAAGCACTGCAACTGGAGAAACCCACCAAAAAAGGCCAAGACCCACACATAGCAATGCATCTTAAAAGGGTGGGAAACATGCATGAAAGCAAAAAGATGGGTTGTTTACACTGGAAACAAAGTTAATTTCTTTGAGGACCCCTGGATCCACAACCTCCCAGCCATAAGATCCTTAATTCAGGGTCCTCTAACCAGAGAAGACATGGCAAAAACAGTTGCAAATGTACACCAAAATGGGGTGTGGGACCTATCATCTCTCTCCATTACCATCCCCCAAAATGTGCAAAACTCACTCCAAAACACCTTTATCCCTTCCAACCCAGTCAAGGAAGACAGATTGATATGGGGTGCAACTGCAAATGGAATACATTCTACAAAGTCAGCATATCTCCTACTAGAACAAGACCATGAAAGTAGGACCCACAACTTCACATGGATATGGAAGTTAAGAGTACCAAAAAAAAGCCAATCCTTCTTTTGGCTTCTCTTACATGAAAGACTACCCACTGGGACCTACCTCCATCATGTGGGAATACAACCAAACCCCACATGCCAACATTGCAACCTTGCACATGAATCCTCAGCCCACATTTTCTTTGAATGCCCCAATGCTCAAACCTTTTGGAATGACATTATCTCAAAAAGCAAGAAGGAAGCCAACACTTCCATGCCTGTCTTCAGTTCCGCAGAATGGCCTAATACCTGGGCCACTCTGAAAAAGAAAGATTATAACAACATAATCTCTTGGGCTGAACTCATACCCTTCTGTTTCTGGCAAATATGGTTAACAAGGAACAACAACATCTTCAATAACAGAAAAGACAGAGTTGACTCAAAATGCTCAATAGCAAAGGCTACTGAGTTTGCCACATTAATGCTGAAAAGAGAAACAAGAAACAAGGAAATAATCCAGGTAAAATGGGAACCACCCACAGTCAACTCATTCAAGCTGAACTGTGATGGAGCTGCAATGGGGAACCCAGGCAAGGGAGGTCTAGGTGGGGTATTTAGGGATGCAAGAGGGAACTGGGTTCTGGGGTTCATAGGATCAGTCCAATACACCACCAACACACAAGCAGAGCTGCTAGCTCTTCTCAAAGGTCTACAACTGGCGGAGGAAAAAAAATAACACCGCTGGAAATAAACACAGACTCAACGGAGGTAATTACAATGTTAACTAATGGTAACCTCGATTTTGACTCTATCATTCTTGAATGCAGGTCAATCATCCAAAGACTAGGCGACGTGGTGGTGAAGCATGCGTACAGAGAGACCAACCAAGTAGCTGACCTGATGGCAAAGGAAGGAGCAAAAAGGACCTTTTTTGAAGAAATTTTTGTAACATTAGTTCCTCCGGTGTTTGTCAACAATGTGTTTTGGGCAGACATCACAGGAACTTTGTTTGAAAGAAACATTACGGTCTGTAATAGTAATAGTAGAACAATGGGGAACGTGCGTAACACGTACCCAACTACAAACAATGGTTTTGTTAGCCCTAACGGGCAGTTTCATCTATGATTAAATAATGCAAATATGCACCTTTGAACAAAAAAAAAAAGTAATTAATACATTTTACCTTATTATAGACTTGGTTTTTATGTGTGTGTTATGATTAATAGTTTCTGAGAAAGAAAATTAAATATTTTGTTTTCCATAAAAGAAAAAAAAGCGAACCAAAACCAAATAACGCGCACATAACATCTTGTTTGGATGGTTGTTACCTGCTATATTGTATCGTATTGTTACTTTGAATATAATTTTTGTTTTGATTGCTACTTAAATTTTATTATATACATCATATCGTTAAATCTGTCATTACGTAACGATGAAAAGTGTCACTCTATGGAACGACCGATTTGGTGTGGCCGCGTTGTTCCCTCATATTTTTCTCTCATCTTGCCCTTTCATATTATTAAATAATCCTATTTTATTATTTACCCTACCTTTTTATATAATAATTCTACCTCGTGCCTTATTTTTCTTTATAATATTACAAGTTTATGTTTCATATTATTGGTGCATGACATTATGAGACGATGGAAAATAATATAATATATCCAAATATTATATATATCAAAACAACACAGTAAAATATAATATAATATTATACGATACATCATGAAACGATACATAACAACCATCCAAACAAGTTGTTAGCTGGATACTTGCAAAGTGAAAAAGAATAAAATTAAACAGATTAATGGCTAAAACAAATAGAATAATAATTTTGCGGCTCCTTCCTTTATATGTGAACTTTTTTGTATGTGTGTTTGGTTAAAACAAATTAATAGTAATAATAATAATTACAGAGGGTCATTACAGATAGTACAGCTCCTTTCCTAAGAGCAAAAAGGTTCTCAAAACGAACCAAAATATTACAAATAACAGTTGTACTTTTTTTTAATAATTATAATCTTCGACCTAAGCAAAAAAAATAAATATATTTTGTGGTTGGCAGATAGATATTTGAGTCAAAATTTGCTGGCTTCATTCCTCCCTTAATTTGATGTATAATAATAGGTAAATCTTCAATAATAGATCCGACAGTACCTGCAAAATAGAATAATAATAATCTAACGATAATCAATTAAATTACTGATAGTATAAAAATTCTTTATATTTACCGTATACATTCCTTAAATCCCACGTGGCATTGTTGGGAGGCAAATAAAACAGAGTGCTTCTCAATTATGGGTGTTTAACGGGTGGGCCGGGCCGGGCCTCTATTTTTTGGACCCGTACAGGTTACGGGCTAGGCCGGTTCCGGGTTGGTTCTTAACGGGTTTAACGGGTTCGGGTTCATCCGGGTAAAAATTGAACTATAAGGGTTACGGGTTGAGGGGGGCGGGGCGGGCCGGGTTTAGTGTATTTTTAATTTTTTTTTGGAATTTTGTATAAATATTGTAAGTTATATTAATACAAAGTACTAACATAAAGAATACAAGGAAGATGGGAAAAAATTGCACTTATTGCAAGTGCTACTTTTATTTCATAATTCAAACTTACAAATTGAAAGGTTTACATTTTTAACAACAAGTAAATTCAAAGGTTTTGCATTGCCTTAGTAAGTTCTTCATAATCAATATGAACCGATTGACCTTCTTCTGGAGT